TCAATAAATAGAGCAGGGCCTTCTAAAATTGCTGACTGTGTGTACACACCCTCTCTCCAGCTTGATTCTTAGTTCCAAGAAGGTAGAACCTTGTCTTGAATGTCTTTCAGACCTCAGAGCTCAGCAGAATAATGTACCTACAGAAGAACTCCATAACATTTAGTGTTTGATGGGAATCCAAACCTAAACTCATCTGGAAGGAAGTAAAAGAATACCTGTTGAGTGCCCTCCATCAGCCACAAGACGTGAAGAATGTTTCCTTATTACATTTATCCTCAAGAATGCAACTGACTTTTACTGATGAGGAAACTGGGGTTCAGCAAAGTCAAGGTTCACAGTGGTGAAAGGATTTCAATCCAGGTCTGTCTTAAATCTCAGAGATGTTGGGGAACACAGTAGCTGAATTCACACCTTGAGAAGTGTGAAAGTGAAGAGTGTTGGAGGCTGGAGAAAGTCATATGTGTGTTACGGAGCTCTTCTAGAATGCTGGTGTGTTCTAGATGCTTTATAATGATCCACCCTCCCTACTCTCCATCCTCTCTGAAATGTTAGTTACTTGGATTAAAAGATATAACTAATATACATGAATGAGACTCTACTAGGAGCAATAGTGGCAGAGAGGTATGTGACTTTGTATACACTGTATTTAAACATGTTTCTATTAAAATGAAAATAATCTACATAAGAAAAATGGATGGTTATTCCAGAATAAGAAAGAGAACAGTGAAGAACAAATCTGAATGGATAAATTTATAGGTTACAGAAAGGAAATTTGATTTGTCTTGGATTATATAGTACATGCAAACAATAAGTCTGAAAATCAGCAATCAAATGTGTTAAAATTTTGCCAAAGCTGGCAAAATCTTGATGATTTTGCGAATATTTAGTTTAAAAAGAGGGAGAGCTCCTGGAAAATCACAAAGATTTGTCCTTTAATTTTTTTAAAAAGAGAGGTGCTAGAAATAATTAGATTTATTTAATATGTTACTATTGATCAATTTGCTTGGAAATAATTGTCAAGTCAGAAGAGATACTCAGCCTTCTCTAGGTTAAATTTATATTAGTAAAATATTATTATATATCTAAATATTTGAGAAACGATATGCTGTATGAGAAGTTCTGCCGATTTCCCAATGCCCTCTCTGTACATGACATGTTTCTATTTATCAGCACCCTGATGGTGCCTTCCCTGATGACAACAGTATATGTGTTACTAGTCACGAATTTAGTTATTATTTAAAATGTTACTGGAGGCTGGGCAATGGTGGCTAATGCCTGCAATCCCAGTGCTTTGGGAGGATGAGGTGGGAGGATGAAGTAGGAGGATCACTTTAGGCCAGAAGTTTGAGACCAGCCTGGGCAACACAGAGAAAGACCATCTTTACAAAAATTTAAAACAGCCGAGTGTGGTGGTGCATGCCTGTAGTCCCAGCTACTCAGTAGGCTGAGGAAAGAGACTCCCTTGAGCCCAGGAGTTTGAGGCTGCAGTGAGCTATGATTGTACCACTGCACTACAACCTGGGTGACAGAGCAAGGCTCTGTTTCAAAAATATAAAATAAAATAAAATGTTACCAGGCTGCAACTTTCCTTAATTTAAATCTAGCATCTTCCAGGCCACTAGTTTTCAACTGGAGTTGTACATCAGCCTTCCCTATGACATTTGATTAAAATACAGATGTTTAGGACTTATGTCAAACTTGCTGAATATCTTCAGTTGATATTCTTGGCATATTATATAAATTGTATCTTAAAATTTTTATATATCTTAAGATTTTTGATCTGTAAAAATCATGTTTATTTCTATAAATTAATATAATGTTCATTGTGTTCTTTGAAATCAGCAGTTTTTAGACATTGTGTAGAATTGTTTTTGTTTGGATTAGCATCTTTTGTTTTACATATCACAGAAGCAAACAAATTTCCTTTGGAAAATTATCAGTAATAAGTTAATCAGCACTTTTTAACTCTCTGTCACCTTCAGATAGTTTGCTTCTTAAAGGCTCTGTAATAAGTTACAGAACAGAGTGGGAGTTTTTTGTTTTTTAAGAAATGGGATCTTGCTGTGTTGCCTAGACCGAAGTGCACTGGTTATTCACAGGCATGATCATGGTGCACTACAGTCCCACACTGTTGGGCTCAAGGGATCCTCCCACCTCAGCCTCTTGAGTAGCTAGGACTGTAAGCATGCCATTGGGCCTGGAAGGCCAAGCGTTTTTCTCTTTAACAACCAAGACCTGTCTCAGAAAAGCATGATACTAAGTAATTGCTCTTGGGTATAGGCTTCTGATGGTACCACTTGGACGACATTAAGAATGTACTAGTGGACTGAGTCAGGAGTTCCAAAACTCTTTAGTCAAGAAGCAGACGGGTTTTTGAGATTGCTAACCCAAGATTCAGCGGAACAGAATTAATCACACATGAACTGGTGATGGATAACTGTCTTCTATGTTCAGAATATTGGTGATGTTACTATAGTGTTCTATTTTCTGGATATATAAGGAATACCTTTCTTTTTCTTCTTGGGCTGTATTAATTAATCCATCACAATTTAGTAGATTCTGCTTTTGTAAACTGAAATGAAACACTTAAAAATATCTTTTTCTCCGTACCTGACTCCTCAGAATTTAGAAACTCTTATGGAACCTTCTTGCTTTTCATGGCAATATGGTTACTTGCACAGGTTCAGTAAGAATCTGTTGTTGTTGTTGTTGTTTTGTTTTGTTTTACCAGTACATAATTAGAAAAATTGGTTATGCAACCAAGACCTTGCCTGGATGTTGCATTTGATAAGGATGCCTATTTAATCAGATACAACCAGACTCCTTCAGAAACTGAGGTTCACTCTATGGAGCCAATATTAAGAAAACTCTCCCAAGAAAACAGGCTTACTGAGTTTCCAGGTTTACAGGCCAAAAGGAAAGTCACTCCCTGGCTAGCCCAGAAACTTTAGGATATTTTGGGGACCCTGAGAAGAGGAATTTGCCCAAATATATTAGTACAGTAGGTAAAACCTTATGGAGACAGTTTCTTAACTCAGCTTACTGTCAGGACAATAAACAATTAAAGACTTCAAAAATCTAATCTAGGATTTCTTACAAAAACTTCCAGCAAAGTTTATTAACTTAACAAGGGCCATGTGGTAAAATGGTAAATTAACACTCTTGTAGTACGTATATACACAATCCAGTCAAATCCAATGAGACCAGCTTTATTTTGTGATCAAGAATAATCTTCCTAAGAAACTTTAAAAAATCAAAATAGGAGAGAGTGTAGAAAAAAAATGTATTTCTGTGGAAAACTATGCCTTTTCTAGAGTATAGTCCTCCAGGTTATCGGATTCTAGCTTTTAATTGACCTTGAGCTATTTTAAAATTCTTTGAAGTGGTAGGTAACTGAAGTCATTACAAAATATACGTACAAAGATAATTTCAGCAGTCTTCCCTCACAACCTGTGGAAAACCAGTTTGGTTTCAATATTCCTAATCTATAAATGAACATGTTCTTTAGATTCTCTTTTTAAAATTGTGGTAAAATATACATAACATAAATTTTGCCATTCTAACCATTTTTAGTGTACATTTAAGTGGCATTAAGTATATTCACATTGTCTCTCAACTGTCACCATCATCCATTTCCAGGACTTTTTCATATTCCCAAACCGAAACTCCATACCCATTAAACAACGATTCCCCAATCCCCCTCTCTAGATTCTCTTTTTAACCTATTATAATATCTTCTTGACCTTTATTATGAGTAAAATAAAATCTTTAACATGTGTTCATTTTTATATCTTTGTGAGAGTCAGGATTTTAATCTTTTTCTGAAAAATATCTTTTAACAGTCTCCAACTCAAAAAAGTCTAGGTAAATACTCTAAGTGAGTGAAGAAGGTTAGAACTGATGAGAGCTTGCAACAATTAAAAAGTGTGTAGGATAGCCAATTGTCTTGCTTTGCCCAGGACTGAGAGGGTTGAGGATGAAAGACTGTTTCAAAATTAGGACAAATTGGCCACTTTAATAGCGCCTGCCCTATCTAAAGGGGACTCCTCAATCCTATTCATTTAATTTGGAAATTTAGGCCCAGTATTGCTGCATCATCTATTTTTCATTTCTTTTTTTCCTTCTAGAGACAGAAGGTCTCACAATGTTGGCCAGGCTGGTCTCGAACTCCTGGTCTCAAGCAATTCTCCCATCTTGGCCTCCCAAAGTGGTAGGATTACAAGCATGAACCACCATGCCTGGCCTACATCGTCTGTTTTTTAAGAGAAGTCTGGAATCTGGCTATTTTTGTTAAATTGTATAATTTGTAAATAATGGTAATGAACACAATATTTTAAAAGCTGTGCAGACCAAACAGGCTGCTCCAAAGGTTGACTGCATCTAAGGAAGAGTGGCTGAAGCCCCTCCATTCCACCATGCACCCCAACATGTGGTCTCTGGGGTTAGGAAGAGAACCACCATGAAGCCCCTCGCCCATTGCTGAGGGACTGCCCCACTCAGCTCTGAGAGCTGTGCCCTTTCCAGGTGTGTGTCTCAGGGCTGAAAGCCCTGAGAAGAGCTCCCAGGACCACTGAATTCTGGCCTTGGCGTTCGAGGGCTAAAGGAGACCAAGAGGGGCACTCACAAACCCCAGTGGCCACCCTTTTCCTCTACCATGCCCTGGCCTTGAGTCTTCAGCCTCGAGCCCAGGTTACCCAGCTGCTCAACAACACGGAAGGCACCCCAACTGTGAGTTCCGAGAGGAGGTTGGAAACGGAAACGATGGAGACCCTCTCCAGCAGCCTATTCTTCCCCAGTGCCACAGAGCCAGAGTCGCGGGGTCTTGGGGCGCGCGGGTGGAGTTAGGCAGGGAGTGTTATCAACCTCCCAGGTGGGCGCGGCAGGAGGAGCCCCGCTGGCTGCCCGCGTGGCTATGCCAGGACAGAACTGGTGTGGTCTCTGGGGCCGCGAGCGCCGAGCCCGGGAGGTCCCGGCGCGCCTCCCTCTCCTGCCCTGCTCACCAGCTGTCCCTGGAGAAGGCGCGGAAGAACCAGATTCCCGGAGCCAGAGAAGACCGCATCTTGCCCGACCGGTACCCAAGACTGAGTCGACGGAGGAGGCTGCGGAGCTGAGCGCGTGTCCCGGACGTGACTGGCTGTCAGCAGGGTTTAAATGCCCCGCCGGCCGGCCCGCCCTAGCCCCGCGACCTGAGCATGGAGCGCCCGCCCCCTTGCGCCTGACCGCCCTTGGGGTCGGGTCCAGCGCAAACCCGCAGGTCATCCCCACCCAGCCCGGCCGCTGGCACCACAGCGCTCTTGTGCTTTGCCTCCCGGGCCCGACAGCTCTGAGGTGCGGGGGCTCCTCTTTCCGCCCTGCATTTTCTGCCTCACCACCCGCTGGGGAACCGAAAGCAGCAATCGTGGCGCTGTCCCATGTGACGTGCCTGCCTGCCTGCACTGCCCCGCAGCCCTTCCTGTCCTGAGAACCCGTGGGCTCCGACACGAGACACTGGAGGGCTGGGACTCACACCCAGTGACCCCGCAGGACACCAGTCTCGGTACTCATGCCTTCTGGGAGCACAGGAGTTTTTCCGTGGGCCCAGAGGTGGGGGTTGGACAATATTTTGGCCCCAAACACACCACAGGCTCAGGCTGGGGCTACCTACACCCTGCTCAGATTCCCCAGGACCCCGCTCTACCCGCCCTTCACAGACACCGGCCCCCACGCGCTCCCACCATGTCGGTGTGGCAGTCACTCCTGCTCTCCCTTCTGGAGGCAAGCAGTCAGGCAGGTTGGGGGGGGGGAGGGGCATTAGGCAGGAACTTCTGTGGTCCTGAAAGTGACAGCCGCTAGCCTGAAGATTTCAGGGTATGTTTCCACCGATAATTGTGAGATACTTCTATATGAACCCAAGGGTGAACTACAGAGGGCTGAAAAGGGAAGTATTCTCCCAAAGAATAAAGTCAATAGAACATAAAATAGGAGTGTCCGAGCAAATGGGTTTCAGCCCTAACCTCACCCTGCCCCTAACTCCTAGGAGTGTCCAGGCCCTACGTGCAAGGTCAAGGAAGTGGAGGAACAACTTCACCAAACAGGTTAGGACCCAGAATAATGGGCTTGGTCGGTACCAGCCCTAGAATCAAGAATAAGAGGGTAAGCAGAGTTGTAAAAGCCTCTGTTAACGCCAGGCAGTCAGGGGCATAGGTCTAGTGGCAGAAATGAAGAGGGCACCATGCCAATGACAAGAGGTAAAGTAATAGAGAAAAGAAAGGCAATAAATAGAAAGGAGGCCCAAATAGGGTGCAGAGGTTTGAAACACCAAAGGACCAGGGTCACTAGCGGCGGCTCACTAAATGAAACCCTTGATTAGACCCCTCGCTGTGTCTGGGGGTAGATTCATTTCATTCTTACAAGTCAGTTAGGTGGCTATTATCCACCTAGGTAGGGTGACTTTATGTCCTGGTTTGCCTGGGACAGGAGACACCTGCTGTCCCAGATGGACCCATTCTAGGGTCAGTAATCACAGGTACCCCAGGGTATGGTACTCGTTTAAGGGGTGGCAAAAAAACTAGAGGAAAGAGCTGATATCCCCAGGAAGGGAATTATTTCTACGCTGCTTATTTCTGAGGGACTAAAGGGAAGGGTTCAATTGGAATTCCGTTGAGCCAAGGAAGCAGCTGAAGTTCCTTGATGCTACATCTGTGGAGGAAGTGGACATCACCAGAGGAATGGAAGAGACCATCTCCAGGGCTTCAGAGGTGCTGTTTAGACTTCAGCAATGTGGAACATCTGTCTTTCCATTTCAGACAGACAGAAGCCAAGAATAAGGGTCACTCCTGCTCATTTGTCCAGAAGCTGTGTTCCTGCCTCTCAGGGAACCATGCCTACCTGAGCTTGAGACTCTCAGAAAGGCATTAGGAATATGCCCTCATGGTAGTACAGCTGTTGCTCACAGTGCACAAAGTAGCTGGGAGCAGGGCCAGTACTGAAACAGACCTTGCCTTGTCCCAGTTACTTCCTGTGAATTCCAGCCATGTATCCCTTTTCAGGGCCAGGGTGGCAGTGGGAACAGTCCTACCAATGTTGGAACTACTCCTCACTCACTCTTGTGGTGAGCTGGACAATCTCTTTGCTTCCTGCTGCTTAGGGGAGTGACAAAGAGGGATATTGTGGCTTAGGGAGTCCCTTCACTCACCTACGCAACCTCATCACTCTCGACTCACCTTCTTTTATTGTCTGGCACCCCTCCCATACACCACCTCCTCAAATCCTGCAGAATGTGGACAGGATCTGAAGAAAATAAAGAGGGAGGGGAGGAGCTACTGAATCAAATGCTAAAGGAAAAGATCCTCAGTTCTTACATGGATAGCCTTATAATTTGTCAAAAATGCTTTCAATGGTTCAGTATGAGACACTTGTGAGAAAGGAGCCATTTTACCCATCAAATACGAGTCCCTACTGCTAACAAGTTCCAGGACCGCCCACAGGACTGTTAGGGTAGCCAGTTAGTGTTTTAGGCCCTTTAAGACATGACAACAAGTGTCTTCCCTGTTTTTTTTTTTTTCAAAGGAACTGAAGGACCTGAATGTTTAAGGAAGTCTATGAGGACAAATGCCATGAGAACAGGCCACTGGATAACAGAACTCCAAAATTTTATCACATCCACAAACATCATTTTTTGAGCCTGTTTCCCTCCTTCCGCTCTGTCTTACCAAACAGAGAAAAGCGTAATTTTTGGTAATACAATCAAGACAGAGTCTTGATTGAGGGGATAAGAGTTGGGATATTAGGATAAACTGTAATTATTCAATCTTTTAAATATTCAATTTCATATTAGGCCTCTTTATTGAGAGGCAGAATGGTGTAGTAAAAAGAACATGGGCTTGGAGTCAGAGCCAAGTCTGGCCAAGATGCTTACTACTCACTAACCCTCAGTTCCCTACTCTGTAAAATGAATGTACCACCACCTACCTTATGGAGTGTTGTAAGAATCAAACATTTGTGCAAATAAAAAGTGTAACAGTGCCTGGCTGTATTATGTAGGTTTGGCAAATGGAGCTATTATTATGTGTGCAGGAACTAACATATATGGTATTAGGGTCAGATATTGACTGCAGCTGAGAGAAACCAATGACCATCATAAATGAGAACAAAATGTAGGAGTTAAAGGATCAGAATTCTTAAAAAGGATCAGTGAGTATAATAGAATATATTTTCGACCTGCAAAATCCTTAATATCATATGCTTGTGTGTTGTGTATGTATCTGTGTATGTGTGTACATACATACAACTTAACCCACTGAGTTATTGTAAGCTTCATGGTAATACGTGTTGAATAATTTGGGGTTGACAAGGATGCATGTATGGCTTGAGTAGAGTGTCAAAGAAATGAACGAAGTTATTATCTTAAATATGTCAGATGCTGAACTCTGTGAGTTACTACTAAATTCTTCCCAGCTAACACAGTCAAAAGATAGATAAGCAAGGTGATGAAAGGTATTGAAAAAGATTTTATTTCTCAATAGAAGTCAAATTCTGGAATGCTTAGCAAAGGCCATCCAGCTTCAATTTACTGAAGACTAGATTAATGGAACATAACGGCCTGAAGACTGGGCTTTGGAGACCTATCAGCCAACCGACAGGGCAGCCCTGCTTTCAAATGGTCAATCTCCTTAGGATACCAGTGGTGAGAGCGGGTATATAAAAAGACAGCCTGACAGTTGGTAGTCCTTAGGAAGAGAGAAGGATGGAGAAATGTTTTCTCCATGTTTAGAGGAAAAATTAAAAGGAATAAATGTAATGACAGAAGTGAGGTAGTCTCAGCCTAGTCACACAGCTGGGGACAATTTTTAGTTGTTCTAGTATCTAAAAGTAAGCATTCATTTACTTTCTTAATAAACATTTGTTGCCTGTAATCTCAGCACTTTGGGAGGCCAAGGCGAATGGATCACCTGAGGTCAGGAGTTTGAAACCAGCCTGGCCAACATGGCAAAACCCTGTCTCTACTAATAATCCAAAAATTAGCCAGGCGTGTTCGCATGTGCCTGTAATCCCAGCTACTCGGGAGGCTGAGGCAGCAGAATTGCTTGAACCTGGGAGACAGAGGTTGCAATGAGCCAAGATTGCGCCACTGCATTCCAGCCTGGGAGACAGAGCAAGACTTCTTCTCAAAAAATAAATGAATAAACAGACAAACATTTGTTAAGTGCCAACTATGTGCCAGGCACAGTGCTATGTGCTGAGGATATATTAATTAAAAAGACAGGCATAGTCCCTAATCCCAAAGAATTTACAGTCGAATGGGACAGAGATGCACAGAGACAAGCCCACTTCAAACAGCTTGGTAGAAGAGATGAACTCAAACAAGAAATAGGTTATAGAAGTATGTTCATGCTGATACTGGGACACTGATCACATAACTCCAGGAGAGTCTCGGAAGGCTTCACTGTAGATAATATAAGAACTAGGTTTGAAGAACAGTGCAGTGCATGCCAAGTGAAGAGGAGAAAGGTGGAACCAGAAAATTGCATGTGCAGAATAAGGAACCACGAAAAAGCATGGTACATTGAAGAAATGGTGCATGAGACATTCTTTGTAGCTGGTGAATACATGTGCATGGTGGGGAGCTGCAGAAGATATGACTGTTATTACTCGTGGTAAGGTAGTGAAGAGCATTCAGTGTCGACATTAAGGGGTTAGAATTGTATTCTTTGGATAGTTAGGTGCCATAAGACAGCTTTAGAAGGGTGAAGACAGGATCAGATTTGTGTTTTCAGAGGAAAAATGGCCATTTAACGGGGCTTTGTCACACTTCCAGCTCTGGATGAAGATAGAAGAGATACACATCTCTCTATTCTTCTTGCTAAGTACTGTTAAAAACCATGGACACTATATAGAAAGGCAAGCATCAGAAAACTCTGAAAAGTGGAGAGAAGACACATCAGGGAGGGACCTTGGGATCTGAGGAAAGACATGGTGGTGAGTTATCTGGGTTTGCTTTTGGCTTCATATATCCTGGACTGGGTGCTGAAGAAGCCAGCAAATCCAGAAGCACCAATGACACAGACAGAACACCAAAGCTCTAAGAAATCCTGGCTCTATCTAGCTACAAGACCGAGGAAGGGGCAGCCTAGCAATTACCACTCTGCTCCAACTAAACCTCACAGAAAACACTGCAGCCCCACCCCATCTTATCAGCAAAGGCCAGTGGGGAACCTAGACTTCCACTTGCACCTGGCTGTCATGAGGGGTGCCCCCTCCACCCACTGCCTGGCTGGTATCAGAGAACTCCAAGTGAGAAGGCAGGACTTTCACCACCTTCCAAAGGTAAACAGCACCCCACCCCCACCACTAAGGTGTCGTTGGAGGTCACATGGGGAGCCGAAAGGAGCCCATACAGGGCAATATC